GTCATACTAGAAATTCAGTTGATCGCGGATTTGGTCTTACGAAGCGAGAGTATACTAGGTCAGAAGTTTGGTGTATTGATCAATTATTAGATGTAATTGATAGAAGCGCAAACAACAATATACCCATAAATTTAGAAGACCAAATAGGACCATTCCGTGATTGGACTTCGGCACTTAGCACATTATACCGTAGGCCTCCCGCTATACAAAAATATCACATCTTTCAATTTAGTCATGAAAGACCCGGTATAATGAGAGCTAAAGTAAGAATCGATGACCCTTGGGATGAATTTCAGTTATTGAAACGAAATGTCAATGTTATAGCTTTGAATCCTCAGGAGCTTCAACCAAAGGGTCTTCCAGAAGAAAAGCAAGTAGAACTCTGGGAAAAAATTCGTCCATACTGCCCAGTTGCCTTCCGTGATGAGCTTTGTCCTAAACCACAAAACGATCTATTTGAGAGGGTTAGAAATCTGAAAGGAAATCGTGCAAAGGAGGCACAGAAGAAGCGAAACATAAAACAAAAACAGATCCAGGCAGGAGACGTAGAACATAAAACTCTACCCGCGGCAGAAGCAACAGAGACAGAGACATCGGGAATCGCTTCAAATTCTAGTTTACCAGGAGAAACCAGCAAGAGGGGAAGATCAGCTTCTGCGTCGAAATTAGATCGGAGCAAATCTAAAAAAAAGAAAGGTAAAAAATAAAATAATTTTAGTGTTAGGCGTTTAACTTCTTAGTTTACCCGTAACGGGTATTAATTGCAAAATCCGTATAAAATAAAAAATAAAGCTCGCTTATGGTTAGGATAGGGTATAGTTTATACCAAAGGCGGTTTCATAACGATAACGATAATCAAAATTTTGAGATATTAATTTTACGTTACACCCGATTCTTTATTCCGATTGGCTTCTCTATTTACCCGTGTACATAATGTAGCTGCTAGAATAATCGATTGTAACGTTCTTCTAATCATGTGTTATTACATCAACCGATTAAAAAACCC